TATATAAACAGAATCTGAAAGCCATCTGAGCACCTTCACATGATGAAAAATAATTGCGTTCGACACGGTGAGCAAACAATGCTGTTTTATCAGATATTATTATTCTTTGCAATTGTACTCTATTGATATCAAGAAACATGGCTGTAAAATACTAGGTTAAAAATAAAAATTCTATTTTTACGTTGTTTCAGTGAATAGGATTGACAGTACTACAATAATTAAATAAGGTATTAGGATCCCCATAGCAAAATTTAGAACGGAACCAAAAAAGCTTTTCAATTAGATGCACTCAAGCTTGACTCTAATATACATAACAAATGCATATGAAGTATGAACTAATCATGGTAATTTGTCAATAGGATGATTGGATTGCTATAAATCGTGGACAATAAAGAGGTGTGTGGTGATTAAGGCAATAAAAGCAAAGTGGTTATGCAAAGATGTTTAAGCAAATGTAGACAAGTGTTCACAAAAGCCATAAGACTGTGAAATACTAAGCTATAAAAAAAGTAGACGAAACAAGTTTGAGTGAAGATGTGGAAATACTGGGCTAGTGCTGACCAAATTTGATAGAAAGGGAATTGAAACCACAATATGGTATAATCAGTTATGTCTTCTGATATTCAACAAAATGCACAATACATGCCAACCAAATGCAAAATATAAAATAGAATCTTCATACAACCAGCGACGGGGTGATTGAAATATACATATATACATACATAATAAAAGCCTTCCAGTGTACCATTAACATTGGGCGATAAGTTTCTTGTGCACGTTGAGGAGTGCATTTTTCTCGAAGTTCCCAAAGTTCACCACGAAGTTATTAAATGATCTACAATGCCCCTGAAGTTTATTAGTTGGAGAATGCGCAGGAAAGATGCTGTTATGCCGTGGATATTTGGGCGGAATGAGGGAAATGCGAAATTCGATCGCACTCTCTTTATACTTCCAAAGAACTCTTTGTCACTGATTTCCCACTTGTTCCATATTTCATGTTTTGTTACAGCGAAAAACTTCCCATAATTTTTCTGCGCCTTCCGTATAAACCAAAAAATCCATCCTTCGTTTTCCATTTATTCCACTTTTATAACGAACTGCATCCCATATTTAAATATGCAGAATAAAGGATGAAGTTTTACGCATTAAAGTGTTGTTCGATGACTGAAATGTCCTAATTTATTGATATTTAAACTTATTTATGTAAATACTAACAAACTCTTATTTGAGTTTTATAGTCGTATGCAATGGAATGTAGCACTGTTGGAAATAGGTTTTGAGGTGTCTGTGCGACTGTATAAAGGGTGCATATAACTTTAGGGGGAAATAAAGGTGAGAGATAGTAGTTAAATAAGGGAGGAATGGGATAACAGCGGTCCAATAAGAGCAAATTATTGAGGAAATGAAGGCGAAATATGGGAAGACAGTGGTGCAATGTAGATTGAAGGCAATCAAGTGAAGGGGTAAAAGATGGGCGCAATTCTGTCAAATAACCACTATCCACCCATTATTCTAGTACTGGCCATGCCCATTTTTATAACCAATATCCAGGGATTTCTACCCGATTTAGTCTGCTTGAGACGAATTCGCCCCATATTTCCTATGGGCATTCACAAACTCGATTGCACAACCGGAAAACTAGGGGGAATTTACGAGTTTGGGGAAAAATTCCCATTTCCTCCAAATTTTCACATTGATATGTCCCCGAATATTTCACTTGGGTTGGACATATTTAATCCCAGCAGGAGAATCTTTTGCACATATCGGTAAAAGCGTAGGCAAGATTCCACCTAAAATTGGGTAAAGTGGGGAATTTTTCTTCACCACATTCTTAATATGGGAAAAAGTCGAATTCTAGTCCAAATAGGTGGGGAAAGTGAGGAATAATATTTCTGCAGAGAAGCCTAATGTGAGAAGTCACAAAATGAAGGCAAAGAAAGTACACTATCATTAGAATGGTGAATATATACATATGGAACGAAGTCTACAAGATATGTTTGAGGCCCAATTACACGCCTGTTGTCGAAGTGAAACTATAGCAGCCACTCCGGTACATAACCTTCGACAATCAACTAAACTTACATGTGGTATAACCAAATGAAACTATGTCTTCTGTTCTGGATTTGTCTAACAAGCCCCATGAAGATCGAGTGCTTAAGTACTGTGTAAATTAAAGATTAATTGAAGTTATATATATATATATATATATATATATATATTAATTCTGATTAGTTGCTCAAGTTTGGTGGTCAGGTCTATCAAAGTGACTTCTATAGTTTGACTTTACCCACTCCTTTTTTAAGCCCAATTGTCAATGAAAACACCAAAACACGTAAATAAAATTTAAAATGTTTGTCCCCTCCTTACTTGACAAGTTGCTCTGATATTTCCACTACAATACATATGTACTAAGATTATAGAAGTAGTTAAATCCATTAACTACTCTTCTATACGGTTTGAAAAGAAAAAGTAACATGTCATCGATCAACAGTGTACAGAATAATTAAAAGACTGATGTTTGGTAATGTTAGAAAAAAAGGACCCCATTTCCACAAATAAAACTGCTGAATGTAAAACAATTAGTCCCTTTTATAAATTTGGATAGCGTTATCAGAAGATAGAGATTATCTGAATGTCCCATGGATCTTGTTCGGCTTAATAACACTGACAAAGTGCGTGCTAAATCTCCCTTAACAGCCAGCGTCTACGATTTCTAAGGTGATGCATTTGATGCTGACCCAGCCAGCATTGACCTCGAGAGCACTGTAGAACTGTGGGGCATACTTCGGTAGTTCTGCAGAATCTCTGAGACAGACTGCAGATAGTTGTCTCACTTTTTGCAATGCACCCGAAGTTTCTGCCATGTAATTTCTGCAGTGTCCCCGAAGAAAATGCCAATTGGATGTGAAGTAAGACGAAGACGCTTGCAATGAAGTAAGTGAAATAAACTTGGAGGTTTCAACCTTCATTCTTCTTACTTAGTTTCGGCGAAAAGTGGAGCATTAGGACAGTTAATTTTCAAAACAGATACAGTAGAAATTCGATTGTAATTGAAGGAAAAAGTAAATAATTCGTTCTCTGAAAACATGACTAAAATAGGACAGTTGGGTAGTGAAACTGCACAGAATCGGCAGTTTATGTGGTATTTTGCCTGCTTCTTTGTGCACATGTCCCAACCAATCAAAATTGCCCATTTTACCCATATTACCCCATGAATGAATTTGAAGTATCATTTCAAAAGTTGACCTTTGAGGACCAGTCACACACAGGGAATTTTGTGAAAGGTAGTGCCAAATCAAATCATGCCTGCCTTTCTGGACTTGGAGAAGGCAGATGCAGTATTCCACTCAATCTTTTGGTACTTTGCCTGTAAATCTAAACTGTAAGGTAATAGTAAACAATAGACGCCAAAGTTAAATGACCTTGACCCAACTAATCAGATAGCTCAGAATTGCAAATAGATGCTAGTCTTTGCAAGCGTTTCCTAGAATTGGTTTTTGACTTCTCTATGGAAAAAAGGTTAATAGGAAGGACTAAGATATGCATACGTAGAGCGATAATGACTCTGAAGAAGTATTACTGGGCTACTGATGGTTATGCACTCAGATGCAACCACTTATACGAGGAAGTCTGTAAGAGTTGGTAGGTCGTAAATAATGGTGATTTTTTAGACACTTCTTGTATTGAAACTCCCTTAATATATTGTGCATATGCGACCATTATCTGCTACAGCTGCACATAATAATAACAGCTTTATTCCAAACAGTATTTGTGGTACAGGTATGGAATTTTCTGCGTGCATTACTATATATTCCATCTAATTACCTCATAAATTTTATAAGATTTTAAAATCAAAAAGCAACACCCAAAATAAAAAAATAAAAAGAACAGCGTTGCGTTTACTTTTTAAACAATGCACCACAGGAAAAGAAATATAAAATTAGTGTATAATAGATGATAACAAAGTGTAGTGGTAACAAGGAAAGGAAAACAAAGACTAATAGGACTATTTGTTAGAGCGCCGTAGTAAGTCGATCCTGTCATACCTAACGGATTTCTCATCACATAACAGCTGTGTCAGATATGGTATTGTGGAGTTTTTGTACTTGGTAGTCCTAGCATATAGCCTCCTATAGCTGCTTCTAGTTCTACCAGATGAAATTCAAGGAGAGAGCTGCGTATAGAGAGGATGCCCGGGGTGTGACAATATTGTGTTCGCTAGTTTCTTACATGACATTATATGTCTATTCACAATAGTGTTAACCAGTTGGTTTAACGATATCCCACTTGCCCTACTAACGGCTTTTAGTGACCTTCTCAGCGAAGCAGTCTTTCTTAAGTTGTCCAGGAAAGATTAATGGGGAGCAGCAAAAAGGGGATGGGTAGAATACAAGAATTGACAAACTGAGAAAGTAAAGACTGCCTTATGCCAGACTGCCTAAAATTGGAACAGATTGGTTTGACATGTCTATAACCAATTCTGTAAGAAACTAAGGCCAGATTCTGCAGTATGTTAGAGATATATACCCTGTATGGTCCACTTTTATTGCATACATACCATATGTGTACCTATATAGGTACACTTTTTTATAAATCAAGTGCCACTTTTCACCGAGTAGAATCTAACTGGCTATATCAAGGTCACCCGAAGTTGGTGCCTCTTTCTTATTGACAACAGTAAGGATTATGGTTAAAGAACAGTGTCAGAAATATCCGTAGATCTCAAAGTACCATGACGTACAGTCCATGGATGAATGTACCTATGATTTCTGCACAGATCATCTGTGTAATGACTTGGAGACATTCCTAGAACACGTGAGTGACAACTATATAGTGTAATGTCCGGTTTGTGATGTCTCTTAGTGTATTTTTCAACGATTATTAAACATTTTGTATCTGAATTTTGATCGGTTGTTCAAAGTCACTGTCGTTTTGGCTATGAAAGTTCAACTTCGCCATCAACTCTACTCTAGTTAAACATGCAAATGTTTGACACTTACATTGCTAGAGACTCAATCCGTTCGGTTAAGTGGCAGTCCACAACAAAGCAAGCCTTACTGCGTAAAACATTCAGTCTTTCTAGAGGATTGATACACTCTCTTGCAACAGATTGTCCGAATTTCGCAGCAATAAATTTTTCTAGTGGTACAGTCACGTCGACTTCTGAGGTAGATATCGTGGGAACACACAAAAACGTCATCCGAAAACAAAATCAACCAAAGCAGGTGACTCAAAACCTCAGTCCAAATAACCTTTACATGACCTTGAGTGGGTGCAAAAAATATTCAATGCTTTCAGTTGACCAGTCTGAAATTTTATGATATCCTCCAGCGCGCCTCTTGATTTAAGGATAAATCTGAACCCTTAATTGATCTTAGTCGTGTTTTATTTCACTGTTTCTTTTAAATAAGCGGTCCCAGTAGCTGGGAATTCATAGAATAAATTTCCAGAGTTGGTTGGTATTTCAGTTCAATGATAGTATTGGTTGTCTTCATTCGTATGTTTTTTGAGATTTTTGCATCTGTTTTAGGAGTGGTGAAGAAGTGTTGCTATATTCTTTTAAAAACGACCGCGCATATATTTTGTAAAATAAGAAATGTCTAGACGAAAGTGTACCTAGTTGTCTTCCTACGAAGTAATAATATATTTATTCTTATCTATGCAGGAATACCAAGTGCACAAGCACAGATGAGTATTATTCAAATTACATAAAGTTAGCTTGTGGTAAGTTTACCTGGTTGCTATTTTTTTCGGCTTTAGTCATTTAGAACAATCAGCTAACAAGTCAGTGAATGTCTTATCACCAACAATAAATTCAGGTCTGTGTTGGATAAATCACAAATAACTGGGAAAAGAATAATCCTTAAAGCCAGTTATCTTACATAACTCTGATGTGTATGGTATCAGTTCTTATTATTGATTAATAGTCAGAAGATGTGTTAATTTAAAGTGAGTAGTATTTTTGCATCACTTCCTCAGTAGTGTGTCCGCAGGGTAGATTGCCAAGTTGGATTTAGATAAATCCCTAGCTTGTGTCCAATTTAACTCACCTTTTTCCTTAATAGAATGAGTTGGTTTCAGATTAGCAGTGAGTAACACTGTGTTACTGGTGCACGGATGAGCGGTGATCGATATTTTCCGTGTTGAATACAAGTCTACGTGTACTTTCCTAGTTCCCGTTTAGGAGATGAAGGTATTCTAACGTTCACGCAAAGACACAAGTCCGCATTCTCCATCTCCTATATTACTTGTTATTCTTATACCAAAGAAAAATCAAAATACCAAATTTATCGTCCAGAATACGAATCAGAGGAAGTGACTAAATCGTTGATGAATATTCCTTGGAGTATAACAAGCACAGTCTCCACAGGTCATGTCAACTCAGACAGAAACAGCTATCGTGTTTGTGAAGAAGTATTGGGGAGTTTAGATTATTCAGCATACAGCCAGCGGAAATGAAGAATAACATTTAGCAAGAGGAAATATTTGGGATATCCGATTGAACGAGTTCCTCCAGGTACATCGTACACAGTTCACCTTTGTGCAAAATTTCCTGCAATCTAGCGGGGCAGCTCTGGCTTAGCAATGCGGTGGTTTAGAAATGGGCTTTTCTATCAAAATAATTATTCAGGTTTCGATAGAGAAAGAGAGGCCAGATTTGCAGTATAAAATGATATCAGTCTGTTTCACAGATTCTCAACAGCTACAAACTACCTGAAATTACGGTGGTTATAAATAATAACACTTCATACTTCAATGTTTAAAAGGTAATAAAGAAAACATTATAAGATTAACACATCCGTAATAAAAGTGTTACAATTTTTAGTTTAAGTTACCATCAATTTGTATGCTATCAAACTATGAAAAAATGGGGGTGATACAAGACAGAAAACTGAAAAATCTAATAAACAGTGTTAGTTTATACTTCAGCACGGCAACTCAAGAAGTTTGCAGTTCGTCAGATTGGAAACTTGCTTAGTGAGCTAAGCTCATTAATGTGTGTATTGATATTACTGAATTACAGCTTCTAATACTGTAGGAGACCAATGGTATTGCAAGACCTTAATTTTCTAAATCACAGCACAAGTCAAGTTAAGCAGGAAACCTGTTCAGACACGTGGAGTGGGGGATTTATAATTCGATAGGTGAAGGGCTCCTTCCTGCTTGGGTTCTCGTTTCATGTTTATGGGTTCATCAATCACTTGCCACATCTCAGTGGCCATGGCATACTGTGTCATAGAAGCCCTACATCAGCCTCCCCCTAAAAACGATTTCTCTAAGGATATCTATCTGATTGGCTTATCCTCCGGATCTATGTCTAGAGTTTTCCATCCAGTGACTGTTTGTCATTGGCGGGTTTGAAGTTGGGATCGACCGAGGCTGTGACTTCAAACCCTGAACAGCTACTTTGAAACTCCCAATCATGAAGATACCAAATATATGTAGCAAATCTACATAGAACCGGTCAAGGTTGTTCACCTAACATATTAAGAATAAATATAATACTGCCATCAGCCAACTTAGTTTATTGCTGGTCTTTCTTACTGAAGTTGCCCTACCAGATCGTTATCCATTGCTTGATAGTTTGTGCATCCTCTGCTGCTACCCAGTAGCTAATGTCCGCAGACCAATTTTCCGTTAAGAATACATTTATCTGAAATCAGTCAGCATGGATTTGCCAATCCTGTCTTTTCATTCCAGGCCCACGAATTTCCGTGTGCTTCGTACATTCTCGGACTAGTATCATCCACCTAGTCTTTTGTGTTATGTTACGTTATTCTTGAGTTTCGCTATTTTTGAAGCATACTCTGAAAAGCACTTGACTATGGAGAGAAAAAGGGTGAATCTAGCTCGTACCTACCGGGGATTTTCTTGCTTATGAGAAAAAGCTGACTCACTCAGTCGGGCAGTGAGAATCATAGTTTTCCTCCATATCTCTTCTTCAGGTTCAGCGTCGGTTCATTCCGTAAGAAGTGCTGTTTCAATCTTGTTAAACTAACACTTGAAATGTGATATTGTTAAGTGGTTGCCCACAATATATAATGAAAATTGCCTATGATATTTTAGAAAACATGCAGCATACCTTGACGCACGTAATTTTTTGCTTATTTTAATAAGTTTTCTATATTTGCTAGTTCTTCGTAAATTCATCAATCAAAGTGTTTCTAAAAGGGTCATGCGGATTTATGTATTCGATCAGACAGTTATTAATTCCATAACCTTGCCGGCAAATATTCACATATTAGGGGCTTTGCCCATTGAACATCATTATCCATGCTGCCGACAACCATTTCCGGAAGCCCTTTAGTCAATACGTGTCAGTCACGTCTCGTAAACCGTTAATGCCCAGCTCTTGCTACGCTCGGGCTCACGCTGTTCCTTGAAGTTTTTCAGAAACGCTTAGTAATAACGAACGCAAAAACCAAAACACTGATTGGCCGCTTTGGAATTCTTTATTGTAACACCAACGTATAAAAATATTTCTACTAAGGTCTGTGAACAAATATTACAATAATAAATCTCTGTATTACTTCTGACGATGTTTCAATCTTCTTTCTGAACAGCGACCGATGAGACGATGACTGTCGTATTGATGCCTCCGCGAAAATTGGGGAAGTTGATTTTAAGCAAACAACCAAGAATTGATCGTTCAATCTTCAACTCCATTGACACTCCCCGGCAAAAAGGGATCCAACCCTTTTTTCCTTCACGACCAATACACGTCGACTTGGATGCCATTGCGAGAACCTGGGTCACATGGACATGGACATGCAACACAATCGCCACTTGCTAGAATGACTCTTGCAGAATGCAACGTGACCATAGCACCAACTCATGATACTCTACGCACATCCTCTTATCTACTCACTACCAATTACTACTGAAATCGCTTGTCACTCATTCTGCCTCAGTTCTAGTAGCGGTGACGCATGCGAGCCTCAGTCGTTTACACTCTTTCTCCCCGGCGTGTGGGACCGCAGCTAACAATTATCTCCGTGTGCATTTCATTCTCAGCAATAGCCTAGCCTCCCATGCGTATACGACCCATCTACTGTCTCTAACATCAATCAATTCATTCACGGATGTAGAAGAGTGGACACAACATTGGAAGTAATCACGACGAAAATTTTAACAAAATTATGCAATAACAACGAGGTACGAAAACAACGAGTAAACACAATGAATTCAAATAACACCAATTGATATGACACACCACACATATATACAAACTGTACACAAAAACTCGCGGATCATGTCTTGATGGAATTCCTTTGAAGAATCGCAGGACTTACACCAGTACGCCTGCAACCCTTCTCACGTTGACGATTGTAAGTTGTGGAATGTCCGGACACAATCAAGACTAACCAACAATTACAATAATTGGAAATCACACAACTATTTAACACAAACATATGTACAATCAACACATCAAATGTTGTGGATTCTGACACGACAAACTACCCTTGAAGAACTGTAGGACTTACAGGAGTACGCCTACATTCCTTCTCAGGTTGATGATCCAAGTGGAAGTCGTACGGACACAAACAGAATTACCAACACCTAGATGACAGATGATATCAATTCAGTATATACAATATGAACATATTGATGCAGACACTGAAATGGTGGACATAGATGAGTCAACGGGAAATAATGTTGAAATACATCGTTTTCACACTGACGCAAAAGTCAAGACACCGAAACCATCAAAACCCATCCCACTGGTGGTCCAACCATTGCCTTATAAGTCAGTTACTCCTCTGTCTGACAATCCACACTCTGTAAAGCACCAGTCGAATGTAGCCACCCAAGTTGGCAAGTTTTCTAGGCGTTATGACAAACGTCCCATTTCCATTAAGAAAACTAAAGCTCATGAGGTGTTCAAGCCACAGAAACCCTACATAGCATGTGCTGACTGCCCTGTTAGCCATCATCAGCCAGATAATCATAAGATAGGGGAAAAAGAAGTAAATAAATTAAATACTAAACCCGGAGCAAGAAAGCTCTTTGATAAGAAAGAGACGAAAGCACCTGTAGGCCTTCTTTGTAAGAGAAAGTCAAATATGGTAGACGAAGCTCCTAGGGGTAGGCCTAATTGGTGCCAAGTGGAAAGCCAATTTTATCGAATCCCTAATTCTAGACAAACAGCACAGCAAAGTAGTAGGTATTGTTCTGCACATCCACTACGTAAACCCCTTG